CAATTGGGATGGCAGCCACTTGTCTCAGATCGTGTGGGCTGAGGAAATGTTCAAGGAGGTCAAACCTCCACTCTCTGTTAATACCATCAATCTAGCAGCCCACTGTAGAAGGGTCCGGCCATTCAAACTCCAGCAGGGTTCCTGTTCGATCTCTTCTCGGTCCTAAAAGATTTTGGTTGATTTCCCGTTACCAATTACCCTGATGACTCCAAGTTCCATCCATTTTTTCGCCTCACATAAGCTAGACCAGATCCACGAAGCCTTCCCTCCTTTCTTGGCAGAAAGGAAATCGGTCTTAGGGAAGTAGATGCTTTTGAGTACCTTGAACCACAGAGCATCTTTGTTTGTGAGGATTCTCCAAGCCTGTTTAGCAAGAAGGGCCAGGTTGAAAGAGTGGAAAGGACGAAAGCCAAGCCCCCCTTCACTTTTTGGGGCATAAAGGACGTGGTCTGCCCTCCAATGGATCGTCTTCTTCTTGGTCGATCCCCCCCAGAAGAAGTTTTTCAGCATGGCATCCATTTTCCTTGTGATAGACTTTGGCATGAGGAAAAGGCACATGATATAGGAGGGAACAGCTTGGAACACAGCTTTAAGAAGGATTTCTTTCCCCCCAGGTGACAACAAGAGGCTTTTCCAGGCTTCTCCTATTTTCTCCATCCTTTGTACCAAAAAATTGAAAGTCTCCTTCTTCGATCTTCCCCATTTTGTGGGAACTCCAAGATAGTTGGAGTGGTGGCAGTCAGAAGCAAAACCTGATTCATGTATGATATTTTCCTGTTCACCCCTACAGACATTGAGGCTAAAGAACATGGAGGATTTATCCTTGTTAACCTCTTGTCCCGTGACTGTCCCATAGTTCTCGATAATGTCCAGAATCTTCCTAGTTTCTTCGGTAGAGGCTTCCCCAAAGATGACAGTGTCATCAGCGAACAAGCAGTGAGATAGAGTGGGACAGTACCTGTTAAGCTTGATACCATTGATCTCCTTGTTCATGACTGCTTTTTCAATCAGAAAAGATAGCGCATTCGACATAAGAATGAAGAGAAGAGGAGACAAAGGGTCTCCTTGTCGAATACCTCTTGAGGGTTTGAAATCAACAGATGGTTCACCGTTAAAGAGGAGTTTGAAGTTGACTGTTGTGATACACCAATGAATCCAATTACACCACACTTGATTGAAGCCATAGGCCTGGAGAAGATTAATCAAGAGATCCCATTCAACCAAGTCATAAGCCTTCCTCATATCCAGCTTAAGCATAATTTCTTTCCTGCTGCCCGACTTGTGCTTTTTGAAGTGGTTGAGAACCTCGTGCACAATGATGATATTGTCTTGAATTTGTCTTCCTCCCGTGAAGCCCGAGTGTAGTTCATTGACCAAATCAGGGAACCAAGGTTGAAGTCTGTTGGACATAATCTTAGTGATAACCTTGTATCTGAAGTTACAACAGCTGATTGGTCTGAATTGGCCAATACTTTCAGGGGATTCAATCTTGGGGATGATGGTGATGAAAGTATCATTCCATCCTTCTGGCAAAATCCCTGTCAAGAAAAAATTGGAAATCTCCTTGCAAAGACATCACCGAGAGTGTTCCAGAATTTCCTAAAAAATAGTCCAGGGAAACCGTCTGGTCTAGGAGCTTTATTTGCCCCCAGCTAGAAAACCGCCCTACGAATTTCCTCCTTTTCCACTGGTGCACAAAGGCCAGAGTTCATTTCGTCCGAAACAAGGTTGGGGGATCCTTCCATTAAACTTGGAGTGACTTGTCCGTTTTTGCTTTGAAAAAGATTGTGATAGAAGCCGTTAACATGCTCCTCCAGGATCCGCGGATTGGTGATCCAGTTTCCCTCCCCATCTCTGAGCTTCAGGATTCGGTTACGATTCTTCCTTTTGATAGTACTGCGTGAAAGAAACTTGAATTTTGATCCCCTTCCTACAGCCACGAAATTCTAGATCTCTGGGCCCAGAAAGATTCTTCAGAGAGCCACAAGGATTCCAATTCCCTCTGTAGATCCTTCTCTTCGTTTATCACCATCGGATCCCGGAAGCTCCCCTGAATGACTTGTAATCTGTTCCTAATCTCTTTTTCTCTTTTCATCTTCACGGCTCTATCATTTTTCGCCCACTTTCTCAGCCTTTCCTGGCAATCGTTCAGGATATCACTAACCATCCCGCCTTCTTGCCATCTACTTGTGACAATGTGACAGCAATCTTTGCTTTCCCTCCATCTTTTGTCAAACCTAAATGGGGTGAGAATGGCTCGTCCTCTCGGATGAAGGTCAATTCGTAGCGGGCAATGATCCGATTCCACAAAGTCTTCATGGAAAACCATTGCTGATTCAAATTCCATTTTCCATGAGGCCGAGCAGAGTGCTCGATCCAACCTTTCCCTGATCAGATCATTCCCTTGCTGCTTGTTGCTCCAAGTAAATGTTTGGCCAGAGAACCCGAGGTCAATCAGAGCATTTGAGTCAATGAAATACTTAAAAGGACCCACATTTTCATTCCTTAATGGGCATCGGCCCTGTTTTTATAAGGGTAGGCTGCTACATTGAGGTCTCCCACCACTAACCACTGATCATCCTGCCGCTCTCTCAGGGACGTAAGTCGATCCCACAAAACACTTCTCTCTACCGCCGTGGTAGGAGCGTGAACAAAGGTGCAGATACAGGTATCCATGAAGGACTTACACGACTCTAAAATACTGACAGTGACATCATCTTTCCACCACAGTGCAAGCCCGCTTCCTTCACTAGCTGGGCTGACATACTCAGAATGATCAAACTTCATTACCCTTTTCTTTTCTTCCATAAACCAACGTCCTTCCTAGTTTCCATCAGAAAAAGAACTGATGGGCCGAATTGTCGACAGAGTCTGCCGCAGTAACTCCTTGTAAGGGGCTGGCCAAACCCCCTACAATTCCAACTCAAGATTCTCATTCTTGGAAAGGCGGCTTGAGGCCTGCCGCCGTCGCCCTCGGAGTGATCGATTCGCCTTCTCCGGAATGGCTTCCTTCTGCAGTGATTTCAGCCAGGCTCTTCTTCCTCGTAACATGTTTCCTCCTCTAGTAGATTCTCCTGCTCTCACCAGGTACAAAAGACATGGAATCGAAAGAGAGGTTAGTGATTGCTTCAGTTTGCTGCGCTGGACCAGAGAAGCTTGCCCGATGCTCAGGTTTTCTTTTCTTCTCGGGTCTGCCTGATTCATCCTCGGTGGGAGCAGCAACGGGCTCAGCAGTCGGGGTCTGATTCTGGGCTTGGGCCATCCCATGGGCTTGTTGACTCACCATAGTCGGGGAGAGGGAGGCTTCAGTCGGTTCAAAAGATGGGCTTGCCAAGGTGAGGGACTGGCCCATTTCAAACAGGCCCGCCAGCTTTTCACGATTCCCTTCTTCTCCTCCCAAGTCGAGGCTTCTCTGCATAGCCCTCGCTGTCGCTTCCATCTCGATTTCCATAAAGGCTGTATGTAGGGAGGGTGTCAGATTGCTCCCTTCTCCTCTAAATGCCCAGTCTGTTCCTCTTCCAGAGCTTGGCAGGATGGCATACCCTTGTGGGTAGGGAAAAGGCCCCTGCAACGGAAGGCCAGTCAGAGTAACTTGAGAAGATTCCCCTCGGGAACTGCGAATTTGATGTACGCCAGGGCTTTGTCTGGTCAGGCGGCGTGAGCTGGCCAGTTTCTCTCTGAAGGAGGCTGGAGGGGTGTTTGCCGGTGAGTCATGGCCGGCCCTGAGCGCATCTGTGTAAACTTCCTAAACTTCCGAAGGGTCAGTGCACAGACCCTTCCTTCTATGGTCTTCCCTCTCACGGCAGTTGTGGATGAGGTGACCGAGCCTCCCACAAAAATAGCAGAGGTCCATGATTCGCTCATACTTGAAACTCACCCAGGTTGATCTCTCCCCAACTGGGTACTCGAAGCCGATAGGGATGGGTTCGTCGATGCTGACCTCCACCTTTGCCCTGATGAACTTCAACCATCCTCTAAAATCGAAGTTGGATTGATCAATGCAGTGGAACTGGGGGAAGATGAAAGCTGCAACCACCTGAACCTCTTCCTCATCTTTGAGTGATTGTGTGAGATCATGCATTTGGACCCAAAGGGTCACAGTCTGGATGTCTGAGGGTTCCGCTTTCTGTTCCCCATCCCATTTTTTGAGGGTGACGAGGGTATTGCTTAGATTCCACGGTCTGGCTTCATACACAGCATCTCTTTGAGTTGCCGACTGGAAGGAGTAGACAAAGAGGTTTTTCCCTTCTTTTGTTGCTTGAACTTCTCCATAGGCCCTCCATTTGTTGACCGCCGCGTTCTTTGCTTTTGGTAGATTAATGGTGGCATCAGTGATCCACTTTCCTAGCAGCATAGACATACCGCTACCTCTTGCCCCAACTATGGTTGGTCTCGCGTTTAGGACAAGGTGGCTTCTCTCTCCTCTCAGGCTTCTCTAGTTCAATTCCATCTCAACAAGGTTAAACTGGATTGCGAATTGGTAAGAAAGGTTTGTTTTTCTGGGTTCCCTGGTTCTTTGGTATCTTACTGCAGGGATGTTTTTTCCTATTTGAGGTGGTGTTGATGGAATTGGCAGAACCTCCTTTATATAGGCCAGTGGGATCTCTAGTGGTTGAGAGATAGAGCTCTCTGGTGCATTAAAAGCAATGGAAAGTGAATGTCAATTCCAATCTTCTTCTCCGAAACCCCCTTCTGCATGGCTTCCTTGTAATTGCCATTTAAGGCCACATCTAGCAGTCGGTCTATACCTTCTCTTGCCACTCTTGCTTCCATGTTGTACTTTCCAACTGGAAATCTGTTTCCAGATTTGGTCAGAGAATTTACTCCCTTCTTTGCTAAACTCTGCAAACTTGTGCTTCAGGGGTTGGGTGAGTGGGTGTCTAATGATTGCCGAGGGGTAGCCTCCTGTCTCTGCCTCGGGTGCTGCTTGGCAGTTAATTCCTTTTGTCTCTCGCTGACCTTCGTCTCTATCAGTGGGGGTGCCATTAATGTTTGCTTCCCCTGCTTTACAACCTTTATTGCCTGACCCTTCTTTACCAGCTGTGAATTTACTCCCCTTCTTGTTGATTGATTGCTTCTCAGGGGGTTTGGGCGGCGGATTGGTGGTTCCCCTGATTTTTCCTACTGCTCCATCTCTTCTCCTATTGGATCTGGATTGACTTGGGAGAGACCCTTCTTCAAAGAGGCGTATCTTCCCCTGCACTTTCTGGAGATACACTGGTTTCCTCTTTATTGCGTTGCAGGTATGCAGAGTTTCGATAATGAAGGCTCCATATATGGTAGCTGTAGAAGTTCTAGAGAAATGGGAGATTAGATATTGGCTAGAAGAAGAGGATACAGAAGGGTGAGAAGGATTGGGCAGAAGGACAAGGAGGGGAGGGGGGTTGAGAGGAGGATTCATGTTTTTTTCTTTGACCTTTTCTTTAGGGACAATTGACAACCAATTGACAACCAACGCAAAGAACACAAGAGGTAGCTAGGTGGCCATATTCTGATATTCACCTCAAGGGATGGGATCCACATGTTCATGTTCGACCTAATTTTAAGACAAAGACAGCATCATCAACAAAATATAAGCCCATATAGTATGCTTAGCCCATATTGATACCTATTCTACCAATTCACTGGGCTGGGCTGGGCTGGAAAGATGGACACGTCCATCTTCACCGGATCCTCCGAAGAGAGCAGCTGAAAAAGGCACACATCTCCCTCTCCCAAATTGTTGTCTTCCATGAACTTTACCCATCCCTTCCCCATAAACATATCTTGCCCTGACCCGTTCCTCGCCAACTCCACCTTCCACTGCTCACCTGCATTTTCCCCATTGCACACCTCCAGAATCCCACTCCTGCTGCAGCTTCTCTGAATCTTATGCTCTCTTCCGAAACGAGTTGGTATTATCTGCGCCCACAAAAATTAACTAATCCATCATCATGTTTGTGTTGAGCTAGATAGATATGCCAAAAAAAAAAAAAAAATTATGCTACTCACGGTCCTGGTGCTCCCACGAATATGATTAGAGTTGAGCACGGCGATGAAGCAAGGACGGTCTTCGGGCTTGCACGCTATTGCTTCCTCGATTCCCTTCTTGCAGAGTCGGTAGATCATGGGTAACCTGTGGTGGAACCCGGAACTCGTCGCAATCCCGGTTGCTTCCAGAAACTCCAGCGTTTCCTTAATCTCAGCTGCATGCCCAAATCAATTCCCAACTACTCATTAATTACTTCTGTAAAACCACCTGCATGTAAATGCAGATCACATACATAGTACGATTTGACTGCTTGTAACATCCAAATGGCTTACGGGTCATGGGATCGGCGGTTTGCCGCCTTCTGGATCGGAGCTTGTTTCTTGCTCTGGGTTCGCAATCCCCTTCTTCGTCGGAGGAAATGACGATGCAATGAGGAGAACCAGTCTCCTCATCAAACTGCTCAATCTTAGGGTAATCGATTGAGCAAGTGGTGAAATCGAAGATGCTGACCGTGAAGGCAGAGCGGCCCACCTGGTACTCAAACACCACAAAGAATCCTGCCAAAATGGAGTGGTGCGCCACAAACTCAGCCCAACCGTCGCCCAACCAGATCTCCTCGTTGTCTCTCGTTACCTTCTCCACGCCGACCTTCCACACTCTGCCGTTCGGTGAGGTAAGTGCAGCGGTCGACGCGAGTTCAGCTCCGTGCATTTTGACGAACTTCAGGGGCAGCTTCTACAAAATTAGAAAGATAGAAAGAAAGTGGACACCATTCTATACGGAGATAATTACAAGATGTTTGGAGAAGTACGGAATGTCTTGGAAACCTACCAGCTTCTTTTTCTCAAGCATGGAAGGAAGAATGATTCTGAAGAAACTTGGAATTGGTGTGTCCATGGGTGAAGGTGTGACGCTAATTGATGATGGTTTCACTTCACTTTCACAGTCGCAAGTGAGCACAGGTAGAAAGACTCTTTACTTAGAAAGCTCCGAGTCCGACCCTCTTTGATAAGAGATCTGTATCTGAAAGGCCCTTTGGTTTAGTATTAGTTGAATCCATTTCGTTGGACCGCCCATTATACCAATAGTTTCAAGCCACGTGTTCATTGACGCTTCGGAATACGCAGCGACAGTAAACTTTTGGAGCGGATCCAGTCAATAACCTTCTGATCAATAACTGTGCATAACTCAATTAGAATCCGTCACATCAGCGCCCTTTCTCTCTCCTGAAAACTGAAAAGTCTTTAATTTTTCCTCTCTTAATCTTTAACAGACGGGTGCACTTCAAAATGATATCCACTTTGATATATTTTTGGAGCAAAGAAAAAAAATTGAGTCATTTTTTACCGGTTCATACCATATGATATTGACTGGTATTGAAATAAGAGCATACATATGGTATGAAAAGCGTACTATGGTGGTATGAACAAACCAAGACTATGGGATTATTGAATACATGATAGTAAAAGTATATTAACTGTCATTTACGATTTTTAACATTGTGTACCACAAGATACCACCCCGTAACAGAGTGGTATTGTGTGGTATTTTTTGGACCTGTATTTTGTTCACCCAGAAATTTGTAAATCCAATAGATCATGATAAACTCGTTTCTTCTGTGCAAAAATTTTCAAAAACGAATTAAAAACTAAGAAGATACCATATGGTATGCAGTTGGTATCGAGAGACAAAAAAAATTCCTAAGAAAATATTGAAAATGGATCTCATTTTGTAGACCATAATGAACTTGTTCCAACTGTGTAAAAAATTGAAATCCGAGTTAAAACGAAGAAGATATCAGCCGATTAAGAAAACAAGGAAAAAATAAAAAATGCATTTAATTCTCCACCCTTATATCTGAATTTTCCGAATGAAGGGTCGAGATGTGGTTACTGATGGTGTTATGCATCGTATCTTGAGCCCTTTTGGAGCTTGATCGTAAGCCTTGTCTCATAAGTCATAACACCGACCCAACAAAAGAAAACTCGAGGCGCTGCCCGCCAGCGAAAAGAAAACCAGTTTAAAAGTAAAAATCCCGCCGCACCTTTCCTTCTCGCGTCAAAAGGTAAAAAGTAAAAATCAATGGTAGTCGTACTTGGAATATATCATATATTGAATATTATATCGAATATGTTGATATTTGATATTGTCAAATACACGTATAATTTTATGAGATTGGAATTAAGATTAAATTTGAAATTTTATTTGATATTAAGAATTACGGAATTGGAACAATATATACCAAAATAACGATCAATTACCTTCTCAAACACCTACTAAGATAATTTAAGTTAATTGATTATGTATCAATATATTTACTATTTTAATTCTTTTAAATAATCTTGTAAATGATTTTATTTATTGATTGAAGATTAGATATATTTTATTAGATTTTTTCGAAACAATTTGGGTCACATTTTGTCTATAGAACATGGCCTCTATAATTTCAGGAAGACCCTATGCACACACTTCTCGTGTATTGAGTAGTAACCACCATAGTTGTTACACACGCATCCTATTGACCGGTTCAACCTGATATAACTAGTAACGAAACCGACTGGAAAAGGGCCAATATTCAACATTAGTCCAATACGGTCAAAATTGGGCAAAATCGAGAAAATATGTAGGTCATATCATAAACCAAATTTTAGTGTTTTCACACATGCCCTCCAAAATAAACACTTATAATGGGATTTGAACCAAATACCCCATGTTCATTAGTTTCAATTATACACTAACAGACTACAAAAAACTTTGTGATAAATATTAACCTTATATATTATTAAAATTTATGGACCCTAAAAAATTTTCTCCATAAATTTATTAAAAATAAAATTATTAAATAATCATAAAAAATATATAAGTTCAGAAAATGAATACAAAAGGAATAAACGATCCCGTTTCCAGTTTGACCAAGAAACCAAGACCAAATTCCTAGCTCTATTAGAGAGAAAAGTAAATCTAGAGGGACTAGAAAACGGATATAGTGCAAAAATTGAATGGAGAAATGAAAATAGTCTAAATTGATCGAGAGGTGGGTGCTGGCCTGTTTAATGGATCGTGGAGGCCCTGTTCCCAAATCGAGACGTGGTCCAAATTAACTTTTAACTATAATAAAACAAAAATGATTATAATACCATTATTCAAAATGTAATATTTTGCTTAATTGTTTAAAATAAAATTATATATTATCTCTCTGATTTTCGTATTCTCCATGAAATCATTTTCAATTGTTATTATAGCTAAAATTATCTATTAAACTCGTCATCATACTCATAATTAATCAATTTTACACAAAATACAATCAATAACTAGCGTCACTAAGTGGAGGCCCTGTGCCGGAGGGCGGGCCAGCACACCCTCTTGGCCGGCCCTGTGTAAACATTAATAAATTTTATTTTATATACTTTTATTTTACATATCTAATTGTTTACTATTAATTATCTTCTTTTTTTATGAATCTGTATACTTTCATTTCATCAAAAAGCGTTGCTGGCAACACCCTTGCCAGCTAGGGGAATGAGATCAGACAAAAAGTAACCAGCAGTATACCAATCAACATAAACCTACCAAAAGACCAAACATACAGGGAAGGAAAACTTCTATATATAAGACCCTAACAGTGCAAACCTACCAACAAGCAGAGCAAACCCGGGTAAGAAAGTCAAGCAGCCTAAGAAACAGGGGGCCAGAAACGTTCAATCTCCTTTGAATCCTGCACCAAAACTCGAACCTCACTCTTAACCAGAGAAACCAAAACTTCAGGGGACCTCTTGTTACTACCAAACGCTCTATAACAGCGCTCCCTCCAAGTATGACTCACCATAGATTGCCAGATCAGTCTACCTGTCAATGCACATAAAAAAGTGGCTCTAAACTTCATGGTAGCCCATTCAAGGTTTTCCTCCCATGATCTCGGCAAGAAAGAGCAGAAGTTACCCAGCAGCAGCTGATGAATGGAAGAATAGTAAGGGCAAACAGAGAACAAATGGTCCCTTGTCTCATCTGGTTGATCACAGAGTAAACACTGATCAGAACCTGCAAACCCCCATTTTTTCATCTTGTCTTTCTTTTGTATCTAGTTAAGTATGATAAGCCAAACAAGAAACATGTTTCTAGGGATAGTAATCCCCTTCCAGAGAAGCTTGTACCATTTAACTACATTTTGCTTTGGTCTGACAGCTTCCCATATAATCTTGATAGAATACCTTGGCATTTCAGTATCATTCCAGAGGAGCAAGCCATTGTGAACTTTGAATAGATTAGGGACCTTATTTCGAAGCCTCATCAACTTCTTCCAGTTCCAGGACCCAGTAACATTCACAACCCAAAAATCCCTACCTTTCAGCTTATACTCATGTATCCAGGCTACCCACAGGGAGCCATGCTGCATCATTAACACCCAAATCTGCATGAATACACAAGCAATGTTCCAGGTAGTGAGATCTCGCAACCCCAGTCCACCTTCTTTCTTAGGAATAGATAAGTACTTTCAGGCCATCTTCGCTTTGAGTTTAAGTCCAGGCCCTACAGACCAGAGAAAGTTGCTGCAGATTTTCTCTACTTCTCTGATTACATTTTTGGGGAGCATGAAAACACTCATCCAGTACTGTGACATACTATAAAGAACAGAACCAACCAATTCCACCCTGCCAGCATAATTTAGAGACTTGGCTTTCCATCCCTGCACCCTACTTGTAATTCTATCAATGAGAGGCCTGCAGGCATTGACTGTTAACTTCCCAGCCATTAGAGGAACACCTAGATATCGCACTGGGAATGCACCAAGCTGATAACCATATCTACTAGCTCTAGCAACCATCTCTTCCTTCTCTAGTCCTCCAAAAAAGATTTCACATTTGCTAGGATTGGACTGGAGCCCAGAGAGCCTATGAAATACATTCAAAACCCTCTGCACACTTTGAATACCATAATTTGACCCATCAGAGAAGACCAAAAGGTCGTCAGCGAAACAAAGGTGAGTCAAGCCAATTTTCTTACACATTGGGTGATAGGGGAATCTCCCTTTCTCAGCTTCCAGGTCCAATAGACAAGAGAAGACCTCCATGGCAACATCAAACAAGTATGGAGAGAGAGGGTCACCCTGCCTCAACCCATGTTTTGCAGGGAAGTACCCCACTAAGCCCCCATTAAAAGCAATGCTCAACATAGGGCTAGTGACACACATCCTAATCCATGTAATAAACTGACTAGGAACATCCATGGCTTCAAGCACAACAAAGAGAAACTGCCAATTAACGGAGTCAAATGCTTTCATAAGGTCAATTTTCAATGCTGACCTAATGGGTATGTTCTTTCTAGAGTACTTGTGCACAAGCTCATGAGCCAGGAGAATGTACTCCCCAATGACCCTCCCCTTAACAAATGCCGTCTGATTTTTGCTGATTACTAAAGGCAAAAGAAAACTAAACCTATTCGCCACAATTTTTTATATGCATTTATATACTATATTGCAGCAAGAAATAGGTCTAAATATCTTCATCTCATCAGGGTTTTGGATCTTAGGAATCAGAGCAAGGATAGTAGCATTTACCTCTCTTGGAATCCTTCTAGACACAAAACAACTCTGAATGGCATTTGTAATTTCAGCCCCAATAACTCCCCAAGATGCTTGGAAGAATCTAGCATTATATCCATCCGGACCTGGACTCTTATCCCCATTGAAGCTAAAAATGACTTCTTTTACCTCACTAGCAGTAATTTGAGAACAGAGAGAAGAAACCTGCTCAGAGTTAAGTTTGTGCCTCAACAGACCCTTAAAGAAATCCACTGATTCACTCTCAACATGTGGATTCTCCCTCCCCAGCAAAAGCATATAGAAATCAATAGCCACTTGACACATACCTTCAACTGAAGTGACTGTGTTCTCCTGAGCATCCTTAAGAGAAGTAATAGTATTCCTCTTAAGCCTAGTTCTCATGGATCGATGGAAGTAACCAGAATTTGTATCACCTACTCTTAGCCACAACTCTCTTGA